AAGATGATGGCGGAGGCTGTGTTCGGGGCGGCCGCGAAACCAGAGACCGGCCCGCCAGGAGCTGCGGCGGGCGGTGGCGACAGGGCAGCGGCGAACGCGTGTGGCGGCGAGGAGGGAGGCTCGGCTGGAGCCTCGACAACGGCAGCGGCGAGGCCGCAGGGGGCGGCCACCGGCAAGGGAGCCGCGGCGCCGGGAGACGTGGCCGGCGGTGGAGCTAGGGCGGCGGCTACGAGGCCGCCAGGGCCGACTGGACGAGGAGGTGGCCAATTCTTTGGGCCGAGGGCGGCCGGGGAAGCGGGCAGAGGAGAACGGGCCACGCCAGCCTTCAGTGGGCCGGGCCTGCTTCCTGCTCCAAAGGCCCAAGAGATTGCGGAGGCCCGCGGAAAGAAGAAGGTGGTCGAGTTTGAAAATTTGGGCCCGGACTATGAGGAGATGAGTTTCGCGGACCAAGAAGAGTGGGAGATGGACCCTGAGCCCGATGGGCCCAACCAGGATTGGGTGGCTGACCCAATGATGGACCAAACTGGTCGGTCGGTCAAGTCAGTGGCCGGTCGGACCAGTTTCGGTCGGACCGAACCGGGTCGCTTCCCGCGGGGCAGCGGCTGGAATGGGCCGAGTGGTGGGCCCGGGCGAGAGAGGCCAGGTCCCGACTCAGGCTACCCACCGTGGGGCACTCCACGAGCAGAGTACGGGCGTCGGGGGCGCAGGATGGATGAGGGACAAGGATCAGGAACCAAGCCTGGCGGCGAGGAAGAATATCAGCTTGAGATGGCCGACTGGGCCTATTCGGAGAGGCGGAACGCGAACTCCGAGTACCGGCACTTCGGGTCGGGTCGCCAAATGCAACCGTCCGGTGGCAACAGGTACGGATACAGCAACCCACTATATGACTATGATGAAGAACTGGTGTTCAGAGCTAAACCTCCAGTGATTGAATTCTCAAAGTTTGATGGCACAGGTGATGTGGGATTATGGTTGTATGCAGCGGAGAGGTGGTTTAAGAACCACCTGATTAGAGCTGAACGGAAGGCGCATCTGGAGTCCTTCTATTTGGAAGGGGATGCCCTCCAGTTGTGGGAATGGACCGAGTGGGCGTATGCAACAGCAGGTGAGGGCATCTCTTGGGCTCGGTTCCAGGAGGAGCTCCGCTACCAGTTCGGCAGGACAGAGGGATGGGCACTAGAGCAGTTGGCCAAGCTGAAGCAGACAGGGTCCGTGGCAGAGTACAGGGCCGAGTTCTTGAAATTGGGCAATCAGTGCAAGGAGATGATCGAGTAGACACTGGTGGGGTTGTGCATGGCCGGAGTGCGACCAGAGCTGGCCACTGCAGTCAAGGTTTTTGAACCTGACTCTCTTCGTGTGGCTTTTAGGCTTGCAGGTAGGAAGGAGGAGGAGATGGCCAGTTGGAGATCATCCGTGGGCAGGATCCAGAAGGCCAGTGGGGGAGCAAGTAGCGGCGCAGGTGCTGGGACGGTGCCCCCGTCGGCTGCAGCGTCAAGTCCACCCGCAGCAGGGGCTGCAGTCGGGACCCGATTTCCGGCAAGGGCGCCACCGCGCGGGTTCGTGAGGCTGACTCAGGCGGAGATGGACCAGAAGCGCAGGGATGGGCGTTGTTTCAACTGCAATGAGAGGTATACCGTGGGACATCAGTGCGCAAAAGGGCACTTAATGCTGCTGATCGGAAATTGGGAAGATGAAGGTGAAGAAATAGAGCTCGAAATGAAAGGAGTGGAAATGAAGGAGAACGACAAGAAAGAAGGCCCACCTTGAGGGCAAGGTGGGTTTCAAGGGGGATGGATTGTGAGATACATAATTATCAGGAGTCTAATTGTTAGTTTTTGCTTATTATTCGGATAATGGGCTAGGGTGGGAATTATGAGGGTTTATTCGGTTAGGTTAATTATTCGGGTACTAAACAGGAATTATTCGGTTTTTATATATACTATGTTATGTTAGGTTAGGGGCAAGCAATAATACATAATTATTCCCAACTCTCTCTCTCACCTCTCACCTTGTCCGAACCCCCTTTTCCTCTCCTCACCGTCTGCGGCTGCCCTTCCCGGGAACCCGACTCTGCCTTCTCTCTCATCCAATTCCCCAATTCTTTCTTACCTAAATTCCCAATCCCTAATTCGTTCGATCCCTAATTAGCACGCCTAGATCCGTAGTTCTCTCATTCACCGATTATTTTAGTTCAAGAATGATTTGTTTCTTAGTTTGAAGGTTCTCCATCCTTAAATTGACTCAATGGGTTTTCGTTCATCCAATTGATTTGTGATGCAAAAGTGGACTGCAACTAGTTCCCAATCTCAGGATGGAGGGAGAAGCACGAGATATGATGAGAAGGCATTCATAGCTTCAAAAGAGTTATAGGTATGTGATTCATTCCTCTTGATCATGTCCATGTGTGTGTTGGTTCACACATGACTAGCTAGGAGGTTTAGTTGAAAATCTTTGCTTTCTACTCCAGGAAGTATTTTGGGATATGTGGATAAATAGTTCTAGTCAGATTGAATCTGATGATGGTGGACAAAATGATTAATCACAAACCAATGCACTCTGCCACATAGCTTGTTATATTTACATCTTTCTTTACTCTTTCCGGCCGGTCCTTTACTATGAATTGAGCTTGATCTATTTTTTCAGGATGAAATAAATTTTAACCACAAAGACCAACTAGTTTAAATCATGCCCTCTAATTAGTAACGCCCTCTCTCGGAAGTAGGTAAAATCATTATTCAATGCCTTTTACTCCTTTTTAACGTGAGCTATTGTCTATTACAGTTCTGCTTGTTCATTATTTGCTAAGCTCTAGGTAGCCTTAAGAAGTGGTGTTATGGCTTGTGATAGCTAGTGGAAACTACCTTTGCATTATGATGAGCTTAGCTAATTGCTTGACTTAAATTACTATTTTGTTGAAATTTTCTCTATGTTCATTGTGTCTGCAGGCCATCGAGTGTTTAGTGTCTAGAAGAATTATAGAGGAACCATTTTCAGAGATGAAGGACACATTTCCAGCATAGTCAAAGAAAAAGTTTATTTGTAGTTTAGCCTGATAGGAATGTTTCATATTATATTGTTCACTACATAGTACACAGATACTTGTGTTATTATCTATAAGAAAGGATTTTTTTCCATTGTGTTGCGATTAATGGTTTGCAATTTGTAGTCCGCATAAAGTTAATTTTAAAACTTATTAGATACCAATTCTTTTATCAAGAAATGGTTCTTAGGAGAAAACTCATTCTCTAGAAAAATGGCTCTTAGGGACAATTTTAGGTATTGAAAACAGTCGAGAGGTACGATTTTTTGTCTTGAAAACACTCGTAAGAGACAACTTGTTGTTCCGAAGTCATAAAAGAAGGACAGTATGTGTACTCGGATTTTTTAATATGGGGACAATTATGTGTCCCTGATATTGGAGACGACTTTCATTTTTTTGTCCCCAAAAGAATAGAGGACAGAACCTATAGGTACCATCCGTGGGACGACGTTTGTCGTCTCCAAATCTTTTAGAGACGAAAAACCCTTGCTTCGGGCACAATATTTTTCGTCTCCAATACGTATTAATTTTGTAGTGTAGGGGAACTGTTCTTTCCGCTGTGAATACCGCCTACAAGTTTTGCTTGCGGTGGGAGATGTTTCTAGTCGAATAACATAAATCGCTTTGACTCTAGCGATACAAATCTCTAGAAATTTGAGAAATTTTGATGAAAGTGTTGTATTGTGGGAATTTGATAGTACAACAGTGTTATTCTAGGAAAAACTCCTGGATTTGGGATGTAAATGGTGGGCTGGTGGCATTGCACTTGCGAGTAGGGATGGCAAAAAAAACCCGAACCCAAGGGTACCCTACCTGACCCAACTCGGTTAATGCAGGTAAAACCCGTGTTGACTGGTTTTGGGCCGAGTTTGGGTTTAAACCCATTCACTAGTCACCGGGTTGGGTTGGGTTTGTGTTTTGGTAAACCTGCCTCATGGGTACCCGCTCACACTCATATAATTAATTTTCTCGGCATATTTAACATTCTAAACAACTAATCTTCTTTATGTTTGTGGAGACATGTCTAATTTTTTCTTTCTAATTGTGTAGAATGAAATTGATATTATCGAGTGGAGAGTGAATAAGTTTAATTGAAAAGGAGGAAGAAGCTTTCAATTAATCTTGTTGTATATGGATAATTTGTGATTTGTTACAATTTTCTTGAGTTTTCTAGATTGGTGTTGAACAATTTGTAATGTTAATTTGTGATTTTCTTGAATTTTCTAGAATGGTGTTTTATATATAGATAATTTGTTTTGGGAGATTGATATTTGACTTTAATTTTGATAAAAACTTATTATTGCAAAAGTTTTACGGCAAAAAACCATGGGTACCCATGAACCCGCAGAAACCAGTAAGTTGGGTTGGGTTGAGTTTTTCGAACTCAGTGGGTTTTACCCTGAATTTTTTTCACGGATAAATCCATAGATGTGGGTATGGGTTTGACAAACTCGACCCATTAAAACCATCCCTACTTGCGGGTGGTTTCGATTTGAGATGGAGGGGATTAGGATATAAATTGTGACATTTTACTTAGATTAGCAATTAGCAATAGCCTGCAGAGAGCTTCAACAAAAACACTAGGAGGCGTGAGTTGTTCATTTTTCATAAAGAGGCAAGTTTTTCAGCTGATAGTCTAGCCCATAGGGATCAAGATTTAGCTATTGGTTTGGTACTCGCTCTATCTGGAATATGTTATTCTGATCCAGCTATTGTTCGTTGTTTATCGCATAACGTTGTCCGCAATTTTGTTATCCGCTCTATTAATACGTAAGAGGTAGTGGTGCACTGTATCCGTAACAAAAATACGTAAGCAAATTCTTAAAATTAGACTCTGCCCTTAACCATCCCATGCACCAAATTCCGTATTAATACGTTGACACTCTCAACTCAATAAGAGCAGGGACAAAGCCAATTTTGCAGGAGTTTGACCACCAACTGTTGTTAAACATTATTCCAAAACTTTATTGCTTCTTAATCAACCACAATGCCCTATCACAAAGCCAAGTCCCGAAACTTTATTACTTCTAAATTAACCTAACAAAGCAAGCAGCAAACCATGGTAGATCTACTCACGTCAATGGTGGCAAACCCCCCTGCATCTATATATTACCGCCAACTTTCTCTAAGCTAGCTGATTTCCCAAACCATACCTTCTTCATAGCCCTACACAAGTTGAGCAATGAGAACCACTAACCACAGAGTCATCATATATTAATTGGAGTCCCTCCTCTCTGGCAACTGCATCCTTACTATGTCCTCTCTTGGAAGATTATCCACAGAACCATCACCAGCCCCATTGCTCGTTCCTTGGGCTTCAGGAGTTGTTAGCGCCAGAAGGTGCGACGACTCTTTGTTTTTCCGGAAGACCAGGTAGCCAATTGCGGCCAGATAGAGCCCCATACCAGCAAATCCAACTATCCCAAGAGGGATTGAAGCCGCCAGTTTAAGATGGCCGTGGAACAGAATATCGATGAATCCTGTTACTAGGTAGTAGAGGTTGATCGCCATGATGAAGAGACCGATTATCCAAGTGAGAGCTGAAATCTGCAAAAGGATTCAAAGGTGTCTTAGGTAAATTGCAAAGCAAGAGATAGCAGCATATGAATCATGCACCAACTGTTGAAGCGTACCATCTTAGAGTTCGCATATTGGCCCATCTTGGTTGTGCTACTGGTGAATTTGAGAAGTGGAATGAGAGCAAAAGGAAGCTCAAACGATAGAATCATCTGCAGTAAAGCATAAGAGATTCAGCTGTTGTAGGGCTGATCACAGGTCAAAGATACAGAAGAGATTGCAGGATGTCTCAGCTATCAAATAAATCATCAGCCATAATAGGTTGCATTGCAGAAGAAGTTGCAAGAGAAACGCCATCCTTCCCCCAACCACCCAAAAGTTCAAGCCTTCGTGTGATACAAACCAAAATATTTAAACTCTGCTTCTTGCTACTGCATGCACATGCTTTAACCTTTGGCAGAGCATTTTAGGATTCAGGGGAAGACTACCACCAGAAGTAAATCTAACTAAACAGCATGGCAGGTGTCTCTAATAACTGGTGTTACTGTGTTATTAAGGTTGATAGACAAAGGAGTTTGTTACAATGAAAGGGTATGCTACAAAGTGCATTATAATAATAACTCCTACAGACACAATGGCATCTTTTCCTGCCTTTCTCTGGGTTAGAATCATGTTCCTGCTATAGTTTCTGGCATGTCCAGGTAATTGAATTATAAAACAACAAAGTATAATTATCCAACAAGGACATCAAAGCAGGGATACCATACCGATGCAATAATGATTAACTTGCCAGCTCCAGAAGAGCCGCCAATAAGAGCTACAATCAAACTAGGTACTATGGCTAAACATCGAGTCAGGAAATTCCGAAGCCATGGTTTCAGTCGCAGATCGAGAAAGCCCTATACTTGACAAAAAACATGAAACAAACTGGTCATCTAAAAATATGTCCATAGAGTCAAATGTTCACTGAGTGAAAAAAAGACACATATTTTGAAATGCCAAGTCATGTACATATTGGCCTATGAAAATGCAATTAGAACTTGAAAGAATCTTTCATGAAAAATGAAATTATAATATTCATTATCATAAATTACCTGCATAACGTATTGGCCAGCATAAGTTCCTGTAATTGTTGAACTCTGACCTGAAGCCAGCAAAGCAATTGCAAAAAGCTTTGAACTCCAACCACCTAACACATTCTGTGATCACCACAAATGCCATAGTAAATCATCAGGATAGTTCGGATGAAGAAACAATCAAATCTACAAGCAAAACAAAATAGTGAGTTTACTTTGAGTAGGAATGATGCTTTGTTTAAATCCAAATCCTGGCAATTCTCCTTGTCTTCAGGGTTCAAGTTGGGTGCGCCGCAAACTGCACCAGCGACAGATATAACTGACACATTTATAAGAAACGCTATGGCTAGGGCTAGCCCACTTTCTATCAAGTAAAATCTGCAAGCCTCCTGCATAACCAGAAACCCCATCAGTTCTGTCAATTTCATTATTGAAGGAATAGCAAAACTCTAACTATGAATCAAATACTACATCACCTCATACTCCAGCCCATATATTCATACCTTGATGCCACGAACTGATTGTGGGATCTTCCTGGAAAGCACCAATGCAGAATGGAGAAACAGATTGTGCCTGCGACAAGGGGTATGGCACTAATGAACCTTCAAAACTCAAAAGCCCTTTAAAAGTTATAAGATGGATTAGTTGGAAACCTACGGCATAACCATCGCACCGAGAAGTGAAATCGCAAGACCGGCAGCACCATTTCCTTTAAGCTGAGGAACAAACAGACCTTTCACAACTTCGTCACCTGCAGGCTTCGCATAGCCCATCTCCGCGAAGAAACAGCCGGCTATTGTAATTACAAGAAAAGCTATTAGGAATTCAAGCTTCCGTACCTACAAAAGGGCAAATATAATCAGAGTCAAACGATTGTTATAATATTGAATCATTAATATTTCGATAAACTAAGAAGACAAGTTACCCCATATTGCTGTAATGCTAAGAGAACCAATGTACTCAGCCCAGTGAGAAGGACTCCAATCCACACTGGTAGATTGAAGAGCATGTTCAACGCAAAGGCTGTGCCAATTACTGGAAATAGCAAAACTAGTGATCAAATAGTGTTTAATGAAGTAAAAGATATATCAGTAATAAATATTTGCTTACGCTTTAATTCAATTGACAAACAATGACCGACCTTCAGGTATGTCACATGCAACTATAGCTATCTCTGCAAGAACCCATAAGATAAAGTTTGGAACTCTTGGATATTCATTCCTACAGTGTTCTGCTAAATGTTTTTCTGCCATCAAATCAAGTATCAGATATAAATAGGTGGGGTTAGTACGCATAACCTCAAATGAATGAAGAGTAAATTTCACATATTGAAATATTTGCATACTTGTGACAACCCCCAAGTTAGCTGCCAGAGACTGAATCACAAGAGCAGCACACGAAGCCAACAAAATGATCCAAAGAAGCTGCCACGATAGAAGACAAGAAAATTAACGCTGCACTTGCTGTTGCCAGATTACGGTATGTAACAGAATAACCATATGCCAAATTGCAGAATTTTACGACTAGCCGACTACTGATTACTCAGGAAAATCTTCTCAAGCAATCCGTGTTCACACAATGAAGATTGTCGGCACATAGATAAACTGCAAATATGCTGGCTTGGGAGGGAGAAAAAAATAATATTGCAGAAGTCAGGCATAAGAATTTACCTCATACTTGTAACGTGCTCCTGACTGAAGATCCGTTTCAACTGAAATAAACATTCACCATTTAACTTAGTATTAGTCGTACTAACCCCTTAACTGAGGAAAATCAAAAGCAAGTTTAGACTGCTGGTCTTACAATTCCCGGGGTCAATGTACGCTATGGAAACAAGGAAGCCCGGACCCATGTAAGAAAACAAGTTTTTCCAGCTTTTCCTCTGCATAAACAATTCTAAATTAAGAATCTCCAGTCACGGCTTTCTCAGTTAAATTTAATATAGGTCACGGTAACACGCTGAGATATTAAGACCTCCACCTCATCAATCCTCCCACTGCTTGGAAACTACTTCCCCTGTAAGTCTCGAACTATATGATAAAACCAGTGTGGAGTGATCCATAATCAACTCCATAACTAAAAGTGTCTCATAGTATCTAAACTAACCACCTATTTTGATCACAACCTTCCATTAGAGGTACCCTTGGTGGATAAGGGATAGAAAGTTCCGACCATTGGTTCTCCAAATCAATACATAAGTCAATTGTGGGACAGCAGAGAGAAAAAATTGAAAATTTTGATCATATGGTCCACCAGCTCGGTCCAACCCATGCATGGCATGATCGTCTATAAGAATCTACAAATGAAAGCGAAATAAAGATGGAAACCCAAAAGACAAAAAGGAAATACAAAGCATAAGCTGAAAAGAAGATGCTCCATGGGGATACAGACACGCAGCTAAAGACAATTGATCATCAACTTCCTTTTGATAAGCTCCAGTTAATAACTTTCAAGAAAGCGCATCTATGAAGGGGAAAAACTTTCAAAAACTCCAGGATAGAAACAATATATAACTAAAAAGATGGCTGCCACATAGTGAGCTGCATAATGACGTTGGACTCCACTTCACAGTTGAACAAGCGAATGAAGGACAGTGAACGAAAAAAGGAACAGAAGAAAAAAAAATCAAATAATGAAAGAAGCAGCATCCATACCAAAGGCCAGAACAAACACGAGCCAAAAATAAAAATAAAATCACTCATTTTCTCACTCAATCAAAACGTCGAACAGCTTATCTGCAAAACACTAATGCAGACCAATAATCGACGACCAAGAAACTGACTTTCCGAACAGGGAACTCCAAACTTACATCGGGTACGACGATTTGCTCCGGCTCTAAACTCTCAATGAGCGGAGAATCCGAGAAACTCCGGTTCCCTGTGCTGGCGATGAACTGCGGCTGCCCTGACCCTGAAATCGCCATCTCCCTCCCCTCTACTTTCCTCAGCTCAGTCGATCCAAATGATACGAGTCGAGAGATTCAGAAATGGCGATTCTGCGGAGTGGGAAGGGAATGGAACAGGACCAAGCCTGAGCAGAGAAAATTGCGGGAAAAACAGGGAGCCCAAGTTTTTCGAGATTCGCGGTTGGATTGGAGACCGTATTGGTCAGAATTAAAAAATAAATAATCTTTTAGTTTTCGGAAATCTCACTTGGATACGGAAGTTTTTGTTTGTTTGCTGGGAGAAGGATTGCAGCGAATTTCGGGAGACAGCTTCTTTGTTGGTTTTGTGTTGTTAGTTCAGTTGTCCTGCTCACTTGGGTTGGGTTTTCGCTTCTTTCGGCCAAGGTCTGAAGATTTTATAGTAGCAGAATCAAAAAGCAACCTGTACTTGCGATGACTGGAGGGCCGTTGGATGAGTAGAAGCTAACTGCCCAGATTAATATACGCAATCACCTTAGGGGATTTTGTAAAAAGTTGTGTTTTGCTATTAGATTCGGGCCCGCCCGTTGGTTGGATGTATTTGGTTAATGATATAAACAATAGCAATTGTATAAAGTAATATATATTTTTATTTGTACCATAAAAAATTCACCTTTTAAATTACTGAAATATAAGAAAGGAACATATGTCCAAAAAAATGCAACATTCTCTAAGTCATTCATGAAAATTTGAAAATCGAAATTGCACACATGCAATGGTGCACAAAAGCCAGCTCCTATAAAATTTATCTTGCTACACTTTATTTTACAAATCATTGCGAATTTTCTTTTAGACTCCCTTTAATTTTGTCCAGCCTAGTTGACCCATAGGAATTTGATAATGATCATTATGAAAATTTAAAATTTCTATTATGAATATTTTTTATGATTATTAATATTTTCTCTCAAATTTAAATTCTTTTCATGTTTACGTGAGATGTATAAATAAAATGTATAAATAAATAAAAATATCAACAAAGTAAGATATTTTCTTATACGAGACTAATTACAAGGAAATAATTATCATAACATAGAGTTCTCCAATAATCAAATCTAGTCATCTATGAAAGTCCTTATTGAAATTGAAAACCAGAACTCTAATAAGGAAACCGACTGTTTACACCAAAATAAATTTATTAATTATCACATGTAGTATTTATGTATAATTGGGACACTTTAAGTAGTTTGCCCTAAGGTATCTGTCCAACATGGCAACAGTACCAACTATGGTCACTGTTACCATCCATCCATCATCATGGATACCATCCAAATCCTATTATGGATGGTGGTGTCCAAGCTCATGGATACCATCCAAATTCTATTATGGATGGTAGTGTCCAACAACAAAGATACCATCCAAATCCTATTATGGATGGTAGTGTCCAACATCAGGGATACCATCCAAATTCTATTATGGATGGTAGTGTCCAACAACATGGATACCATCCGAATCCTATTATGGATGGTAGTGTCCAATATCACTTTCCCCAACACAGGAGGGGGGCTGGGTTTACGAGATTTGAAAACTTGGAACATTGCTTGTATCACTCGACATATCTGGCTTCTGTTATTGCAACATGGATCTTTGTGGGTTGCATGGATTAGTGTTTATAAACTGAAAGGCCAAGATTTTTGGCTTTATGCTCGTTGTTCTGGTTCATGGAACTACAAACGGATTCTGAAAACGAGGATAAAGGTCTGCGATTTCTTCCATCATCAGGGGCAGGATGTTTACTGGGATCAAGAACGAATGGAGACTTTTTCCATTAGGAGAATCTGGGAGACTCTAAGGCCGAAAAGGTAGAAAGTAGCTTGGTCTAAACTTTTATGGAAGGGAAGCCCCATTCCTCGAAACAGGTTTATTGCTTGGTTGATTATAAAAAGAGCGGTAACTACCAAAGAAAAGATGTTGAAATGGGGATTTGGTGGTAGTTTGGGCTGTGTGTATTGTAATTGTTCACTAGAAACTTCCGATCATTTATTTGCAGCGTGTCTGATGTATAGGAAAATGGTTTGCAAGTTGTTTGGCAGAGGTTTAGGGGTGTTTACCTCTTTGGACAATGAGCTTGCTTGGTTGCAGTAGGGGTTTGGTCTCACACAGTGAAGTCTCAAGTGGGAAGAGCTATGTGGCAAAGCTTGGTGAGTGTGTTATGGCGAGAAAGGTGCAGTAGAGTTTATGCAGGTCAGTGTAGGGATTGTGATGTGTTGTGCAAGGTTGTAAGGGAGGAAGTTATAGGGCTATTTGGAAGTGCAATCTTTGACTCCTTTTGTGTTTAGTCGAGATTGTAGGTGGTGTTTGGTTATGTCAAAGTTGATCCCTAACTAGCAAGGGTGTTGATAGTGTCGCTTTTGATGAAATGAAAGATACCATATTCATAAAAAAAAATCTTCTACATAGAATAGCGTTTTTAGTGCATTGCTATTCATAACTCTAGGCGCTAGACTTTCTCATTTCAAGGTGGCGGATTTCATCTTTAAAACCCGCGAATTAGTAGGATGCGATCAACTGTACTCTCTTTTTCCTCGAGGGGTTGTAGTAGTGCTCCTTTCATTTAGGCTCGCAAAGTTTTTGAAGACATATAGGTTCTTTTTCTTTCAAATATTGTTATGATCACCTCCATTCACGGCTTGTAGTGTGTTTTAATCAAGGTTGTCAAACCGGTTTATACCGTTGTGACGGTTGGCAGATGGAATGGTACGACCGGTGGTATAACCAGTATGTGTCGATTTAAAATAATGTGAAAAAATTAATATTCAATGTATTTAATCATATATAAAAACATATTTGTGGATAATTTAGTTACAATCCAACAGATATCATCAACTTTTAACAATTAAATTCATAAAATGAATAATAAATTAATTTTTTTATTAATTAAATTCATTAAAATGATGTCATTTTACTTAGAATGCGTAAGTTGATCATATCGGTCATACCAGTGGTGTCATGCCGGTTTCATGACCGGTATAGCTTCAACCAGATTCAACCGAGTGTCATGCCAGCGGCACGACAACCATGGTTTTAATCCATTTTAGAAATTGATCAGCAGCAATAACACAACATAATAAATGTAAAATTTCATATCCATTAAGTATAACTCATAACTGTATTTCAAAGATATACTCATTTATTTAAAGAAACCCCATTGTTCAACGAACTAGGAAAAATTTTAGATGACCAGTGTTGAATTTATATTCCGGAAGAATCCTGCTAAACTATCCAAATCCCATACAATGGGAATAGGCGCAGGTCCTTTCCACACCTAGGTAATTTACTAATTTTAATATGAATTACGAAAGTGAAATTCTATTTCATTCTTTCTTTCAACCAATAAAAAAAAAAACAATGTCGTCTCATTGCATTCCAATCCTTACAAGTTCTCATGTCCAACATCTCATGCGTTCAAATTATTCAAAACTTAATCCACAAAGTAATACAATAAAATTTGGGAAAAAATCATTCGTTCAACAATGTCATCATCTATATCATCTCATTTCATTCCTCATGATGGCCAGCTACTTTAATTTGTGGATGTTGCAACATGATTGATTGTGGAATTGGGTTCATAACTGGTTAAGTTTACTAGAGAGTTCTATGGTGGGGTACGCCAGCCAGAGCACCCAACCAGGCTAATGCAATAGTGTAACACAAGGGTGACCTGCCAGAAGTTCCCTGGAGCAAACTTCAGTATTGGACCTTCCTTCTATAAATATTAATTTAATGTCGTGAGGACCATTGGTTCACGTATTAAATATTAAATTGATAAGATGTGACATTTCAAATGAGGGACTTCGCATGCTTTTTATCAGGCGATGAGGAATTTCAGAGGGTAGTTATTCTATATATATCTTGAGAGAGTGAGCATTTGTCGTTCATTATCACTAATGGTGTTCATCGTGAATGGATTTCTAATTGTGGACATGAGTATCTATTTGGTTGTTTTCAGTATCGATTTTCAGATTTCTGGTATGCATTCTAGCTACGGGTGGAAATCGGTATCCCAATACCAAATATCGAAATCCCGAATACCGAATTATACCACGAAATCAATCTCAATCCCAATCCCTAAATAATTTCGGTATCCCAATCCCAATCCCTAAATATTTCGGTATCCCAATCGATACCTCGGTATCCCAATGGATATTATCAAATACAAAATTAATTACCTTTGCAATGAATAATTAAATAGATAAATTAGATTTTATTGTTTAATTTAGGGCAAAGAGACTAAGCAAATAGTCTTGAGTTGCCTAGAGCTAACATCTCAAGTTTTTGTAATTGGTAATCTTTAATTTGATGAATTTTAAGTTTAGAGACGACTAATACTAGTGTGAAATAGTGATGTAATAATCTATGTATAATTAAATGACACTCTTGGTGGTTGAGGGTTGCGTAGTAGTGAATGAGAGAGTCTAGTTGAGAGGATAAAATACACACTAGCTTATATTTCGGTATTGATCGGTATTTCGGTATATACCGATACCAATCCCGTAATCCCTAATACCGAATAACAATTGAAACTCAATCTCAATCCCACAAAATAATACGTGTATTCGGTAATACCAAATATAGACTAATTCGATATGGTATTCGGTATATCCTAAATACCGGTACCAAATTTCCAGCCCTAATTCTAGCTAGTGTATCGCATATGCATTCTCCTGATAATTGATATGTTTCAAGTATTTGGTATGCATTCAGGAATTATTGGTATGCATTAAACAATTTTGGTATTATTTAGGGAATTTCTAGGCACTCATAAGTGATAATTTATATATGTATTCTTACATTGGTGACATTCTTTGTGTTCTTATGGATTATGATTCTCGTATACATCAACTATTTTGTTTTGTAGCGATTTAATGATTTATTGTGTGGATTCATAACTAGTATGTGTTCTTACATTATGGTATTCATTATGTGATCTGGTATGTATTCATCTTCTCCATCCATAAATTTCATAAAGCAGAGCAGAAATCCAACAAAGAAAATCATAAATACTACAAAACATAGCAGAATCACGAGAAATTAAACCACACCACAAATATGATAAACAATACAAGAAACACGAGATATCAAATCACAAACGAAGCATGAGAAAGCAACCTACAAATCTTATAAAGCATGCCAGAAAATCCGATGACTGGGTCCCATGGATCATTGAACAGGTTTCGACAACTGGTGACCGGATTCTATCAATCAAAAATCCATCAAGAAAATTAATTTAGTAAATTTTCTTCCATTAAGTTATATTCTCTTATCGGTATAGCTTTGACTCAACAATCAAAATGACTGTTATGCCGTTATTAAAATTTTGGGTGCGCCTATGGTGACATGC